TTTTTTTTTTTTTTTTTTTTTTGGTACTGGGAATTGAACTCAGGTCCTTGCGCTTGCAAGGAGGCCACCGAACTGCTGAGCTAAATCCCGAGCCCCCAATTCTTAAATTGATACCTATATTTTTAACTTAAAAGTTTTCAGACCTATTTTCATATCCTTCCCTCAGTGAGTGGGTATGGTTTGAGTAGAAAAGGTTGTCAGAGCCCCTACTGGAGTAAGATTAGCTTGCCAAGTGAATACTGTACTAGCAAGAATTATTTTGGATATTTTTCTCTACCAGTCCCTGATGTCTGTATCTTTAACTTTTCTTTTCTGGTGCCGGGATCGAACTCAGGACCTTGCACTTTCGAGGCAGGTGTACTACTATTGACCTAAATCCCCTGCCCTAATCTAACTCTATTTTTAAAAGATTTTTTTCCACTGCACACTGCCTCTTGAAGACTCCCAAAGCTTGTCTTCCAACACTTCTGTTTACAACTGCTATGTATTTTACAGAGGAATTTTTCTATAGCATGCTCAAGGCCCTGAGTTCCATGACCTGCACCACAAACAAATAAAAAGATAAATCATCTAAATCCTAAAATATAAATTAAGACTAGAACTTAAAAATCAATCTGTTTATCAAATTTATATAAATACAAAGTTTAAAAAGTTGTAAAGGTGTAGTATTATGTAACTGAAACATTACATCCACAAACAAAGGTGAGGGTTGCCAAAGATTTAGCTCAGTGGCACTGTGCCTGCCTCACAAGCACAAGGTCCTGAGTTTGATCCCCAGTGCGAGGGACAGTCAACAAAGGTGAGGACTGCATTCAGAAAAGCAGGAAAGTATGATACTTACGTGTAACCAGTCATAAATAAAAATATTTCCTTGAGGGACAGGGATTTAGTTCACTGCCTGCGTCATAAGGGCAAGGTCCCAAGTTTGATCCCCAGTACCAAAAAAAAAAAAGAAAAAAATTTTCTTGAGACTGGTCTTTCATTTTTTAACACGGAAATAACAAAATACAGCCTGTCATTTGGGGAATTTCTATTAGGTTAGAAATTATGGCAAATTTAATAAAAATTTTGCAGATACCCTCAAATCAGGGCACAGGAGGCTACTGAGGGAAACTGACAAATTAGTATTGTGCATTCCAGCTATAATACTAAAATAATCTGCATCTTCATTTTTAAGAGTTTTTTAAATACATAATATTAACATAATATGTCAAAAGTTAACTATGCTAATGTCAGAAGAGAAACTATATGACTTAACTTAGTAGCACATGCTGTAGTCCTAGCTGCTGAGGTAGGAGAATCACTTGAACCTAGGAAGTTCAAGACCAGACTGGGCAACACAGAAAGTCAAGATTCCATCTCAAAAACACACAAGTAGAAACTATGTGGCAAGTCATAAAGATACCCTAACTCCTAAATAATACCCGTATCAGATGAGATCGGGTGTGTTCAGGGTAGTATGGCTGTAGACAGTAAAACCCATTTCAGAGGTCCTGGGAGACCCACAATTCCCGGTTCATACTCCTGATAAAATCACGCATTTTCAATAATTAAGTCTTCTACTTGAGGGATGTTAAATGAATCTCTTCTTCATAACACAATGACTACAGACTAAAGAAATCAAAATTGAAAGTCAAATACTAATACAATAAAGTACATGCTACGTATGTTCTTTCAAAATGTATAAAGTAAGCCAAAGATTTGGAGAACATCTCCATAAATGCTGCTATTATTGTACAGTAAAGACTTTAGCTAAATCAAGAAATAAAAGAGGAACAGAATAAATTAAAAAGGCAGGGCAATTAAAGGATGAAGGAAAAAACATTAATTAGAAAGCAAAATGCAGTCTGTAGAATCAGATCCCCCCAAAAAATGGAGGCATAAGAATGAGAAAAGCATAAAAACCACAAATACTATGCAAAATTTTATTATATGCAAATATGCACTAATAACATTAAACAGATCATGATTTCCTAGAAAAAGAAATTATTCCACTTTATTCAAGAGATAGTATTATCTTGCCCTCCCCTGCTCCAATCAAGAACATTTCCCCCAGTTTCATGAATGCCCCCAAAACTCCAAGGAAAAGATGGAATTGTTTCCTAAACTGTATGAGACAATATAAACTGAGAGTCAAATACTTATTAGAAGATAAAGATTAAAAATGTTGAACACAAAAATTTTAAATATGCACATTATTGTTATTCAAATTTTAGCAGAAGAGTCCAAATCATCTAATCAAATTTTTAGGCAAAACCTGATGAAACAGTGATAGCAAGGAAACTTAAAATTTCCCCCAAAGACCATGTGTTAAAGGATTGGTCATCATTCAGCAGCACTAATGGAAAGTGATAGAATCTTTAGGAGGTGAGGACTAGGGGAAGGAAGTTAACTCTCATTGAGGGCAAGCCCCTAAAGAAAATACTCAAACACAGCCCCTTTTTCTCTATTTCTTTGCTTTACTGCTCCAACAGACACTCTCTGCCATGACATTATGCCTCACTACAAATGCAAATGACCTCAGACTAAAACCCTCCAAAAACATGAGCTAATACACATTTTTCCTCATGAGGGAAGTCTAATGTGAGAAGCTAACAAATTAGACTATTAATATTGCCTATTATAGCTGCAATATTAAAATAATCTGTACAATTTATAAAGCAGTATTAGGACATCAATATTTCTGTGAGTGCAGATATAAAAGTTCTCAATGTACCCAGTACAATTTAATCTATGAATGTAAGAACTGAGTGAAGTACTTGGTAAAGACAATCTCTATCCAGGAAAGGGGGTGTAGGTCAGTGGCAGTGTTTACCTAGCATACACACATGTACACACACACACACACTGATGATCTGTTTATAGCCACAAAGTACTGAATATGTACAAAATTATACAATATTTAATTAATTTGTGGGTAGCAGGTGGAACATACAAAAAAGACAGGCATTAATAATGGTAAAGAGGTTGGGTATTGAGCACATGAACAATTTTCTATCCTTGTAAATCTAAGAATGTTTCCACAATTATTTGCTTAAACAGTAAACGGGAAACTAGGTGCAGGACATATAGAGAGATTACCTTC